GTACAGCCTCTGAAGGTCTTACGTTAAAGCTAGAATGATACCTCGGAAGCAGCCTGAGTGATTTACGGGAAAGACGCTGCAGTCGAGTTTGCTTGCCGCTTCTGAGCTAGCTGTCGCCAGCAGCTACAGCAGGGAGCAGTCCTCCACTGTACAAAGCACTTACAGAGAAAGGGATTCTCCCAGGTCTCCTGACACCACAGTACCATGGCCTGTCTGATTTGAACCTCCCGTGCTACTGTTTCCCAAATATGTCAAGAAGCAGGGGGTCATAGTTGGTATATCCTTTGGAAAGGTGACCAGCTACACACTTAGTTTCAGGCCACAAGATTTTCCTGGAATATGGGCTTGGGACTAATGTGAGAAAATCTTGCTCTGGGATGATGATTGCCAAATCTAAGTGGCTCGTATATATGTGTGTGTGTGTCCATTCTTTGGGCTTCTGGATGGAAGAGGAGTTGTTTTTGTTGTTGTTGTTGTTTTGTTTTTTTACGAAGCTAGAAAGTTTATAGTATTATTTATTTGGGGTACAAATTTCATATATTCTTCATTGGTCCAACAAGAATTTTTTAAATGTTTGTCTTGATATTTAGTTGAACTAATCCTGTTCACTATCTCTAAGTTTCCTGTACCCCCATGACATCTTGTACTGGTCTGAGAAAGTAGAATTTTTAAGAAAAGCAACTCATTTCTTTGAGATGCTCCAGCCCAGAGATTATTCAAAAAGAATTTCCAAGCAGTGTAGAATGCCAGCCCTTCCTTTAAAAACACAGCTAATAGTCTTTCCTGAATGCTTCATCAGGGGCCCCATTTATGACTATTCTAATGGAGTTACAGCATGGTTAAGTGAGATAGTGACGGTCATCTCAAACTCCCCTGTGTCATGTGCCATGATACAGATGCTAATTGCTTCCCTAGGATATCCTACTCTGCCTGACTTATACCAGGGCAATCTTAAGGTAGCTTTTTTCCCCATCACTTTACTCTGTCTTGTAGTGTTGTACTTAAATACCTTTTATCACTTTGTATATGATCCCATACTGCTCAGTCAGCACACACACACAAACGCCTGCCTACTCCCCTTTGGGCCCCCGGCATACCACAACATGGTTCCTTGCCTGCCTCCCTGCCTCCATGCCTACCTGTCTGTCTGTTTATCTGTCTGTCTATCTATCCATCCATCCTTCAAAATATCAAGTAAACACACATATGAAATTACTAGGATAGGCAGATATCAAAGTGCTGACAGTAATTATTCCTGAGTAGTAGATTATGGGTGTTAAATATTGCGCTTTTTAAGCTCGTCTATTTTCTAGATATTATTGATAAGCATACCCTATTTTTTTCAAAAAAAAAAAAGATTCATAGCACTAAACGATTTTCTTGTAGAAAAAGAAATAAGGATAGTCACTGTTCTCAGCCAGCCTCAAATGACATTAGAATATATATGCCCTTAGTTGGGTGGGAAAGAGGAGGCACCATCTCCCCATGACAACCTATGCTAGGAATCTGAATTAATTCTGTTTCTGATTTGGATTTTACTGCCAAGTCTTTGCCCTGGAATATGGAAAAACCTCACGTGATGGCAGGTTCCTCGGGCCTTCACTGTTCTCGGTGGAATGTCCCAAGCACACACAAGTGAGAGCAGTCCTTCAGCAGTGAGAGAGACCATTTTATGGGTTAGGAGGTTGAGGGTTTGAGCTCAGAGCAGTTATGCATGGACCTGAGGTTGGGGAGGCATTTTCTTCTTGGCACTGCCTGGAATAAGCTCCTTGCTATCCAGATCTTTTCCTTGTTAAGGGTTTGATACAACCTACTCTGTGCTAAAAATGACTGGTGGAAGCTGTTTTGAATGAAAAAAACTGGCTTTCCTGGGAAAGTTGGAGCATCACTGAGTGAGCCAATGGCAAAGAAAGCCAAGTCAAGGAAAGGGGATAATGAAAAGTTAAGAAGCCTGTTCCATCTCCGTCATGGACCAGGAATCTTTCCTCTAGCATCTTAGCCACTTTGTGAATGAGATGAAACTAGACATTCACTCTTCTACTTACCATGGATTTTCCTACATTCGAGTGGTGCTTCATCCCAAATGTGAATAATAAAGTCTGCCAGTCTACTCCAGAGTTTTCAAAGAATAAAACAACGGGACAGATGATAGAAACTATTCTCACCAGGGATCCCCAAGGCGAAGTCTGTTTGACTTTACTGTTTCCACAGTTGAGGTAAATTGTCTCCAAGAATACAGTGACTGGGAACAGGAGACACATTTTAGTGCAGTGACCTCAGTGATCTCAAACATATCACTCATGCACCATGCATTAACTGTCACAGACAAATCACTCTTGGATAGTCTTGTTTCTGATCTATTTTGTGAAAAGACTGTCCACTCCACAAGCGGTTCAGAACAGTTCCTTATGCTGGGGCTGAGTGTCTGGTACAAATGGCTTCCAAAGGCCCCCTCAGGCTTGCAGTTTCTCGTCTGGCTACCACTCTGGTGGATCCCACAGTGATGGCCATGATGTTTCACTTGAATCACCTCCTCAAGTTTCACCTCAAAGTTTGTCTACTCTGCAAAGTATATTAATTCCCAGTGTTCCAATAAGACATGATATTCCTCTCATGATAGTGCTCACCTTCTTTTGTTGTTTTGTTTTTTGTCTCTTTTAATTGAAAAAAATATTGATGCAATATATTTTGATCATGTTTCCCCCTTTCCCAAATCCTCTCCACCTCTCTACCCAACCAATAACATACATACACTTTCTTCATCTCTCTCTCTCTTTGAAAAACAAAAACTCTCTTTCTCTCTCTTACACACACACACACACACACACACACACACACACACACACACACACACACACGAAATTAGAAATCTTAATACAAGCAGAAAACTAAAAAAAAAAAATAATAATAACCCAAACAGAGAAATCTAAGACAAAAAATCTACAAAAATACCATTGAGATAGTTTCGTATTGGCTTTCTACTGTTGGGCTTGGGGTCTACCGTTAAGTGTGGTTAATATACCTAGTGAGACTCCACTGCAGAAGACTAATCTTTCCTTTGTAAATAGGTATCATTTGCAGGTGGCTTCTTGGTTGTGGCTGAGGAACCATGTCTACTCCATCCTCTCAGTACTGGGACCCCCATCTGGCTTGAACCTGTACAGACTCTGTGGGTACTTCCACAGTGTGTTCTTTCATATGTACATCAGTCCTGCTATAGCTGGAGGACACTGTTTCCCTAGTGTTACCCAAAGCATCTGCCTTTTGCAATCTTTCTGCCTCATTTTTTTACATAGGGTATGAGCCTTAAGGTAGGGAGTGGGGCGTGATGAAGACATCCCATTTAGGACTGAATGTCCCAAGATCTCTCACTCTCTGCACACTGTCCAAGTTTTGGGTGTATGCGTTTATATTTCTGTCTACTGCAAGAAGTTTCTTTGATGATGAATGAGCAAGGCACTGATCTATGGTGATAGAGTAATATCATTAGGAGTCATTCTATTGCTATGTTTCTTTAGCAAAACAATGGTATTTAGTTTTACCCAGGTCCATGGCCTATACAATCTCGGGTTCTTGGCCACTCCAGCAGGATTCAGCATGTGTTCCATTTCATGGAGTAGGCCTTAAATCCATTCAGAGTGACAGGATACTCTCACATCTGTGCCATTATTGTATCATCATATCTTGCAAGCAGGTCATGAATGTAGGTCACAGGGTTTGTAGCTAGATGACATTTCTCCTCTGGTAGCATACAGAGTATCCTCCCGTACGGTGAACACTAGTCAGTGGGCGTGAAGCCTCTAGTTAGTCACCAGCTCTACTTCTCTTTGTCTTATGAGATAGGCAAGGGTGTCTTCATCTGTAGGGTCATCAGTTTGTGGAGAACAACCAATATCCTTGGCAACACCTTGAGATGTTTGGGGTTTCCATGGGGCCCTTTTGGCCAGGGACTTAAGTGGATATAATCCATTCCTGGCACTGGAGGTTTCCTTGGTGGTGTAAGTTATCCAGTTGGGCCGTTGTCTCCCTCATTATTTGGTTGTTCCATTTATATTTCTTTCAGATATGTATGTATTTTAGGAAGCTTCTTTAGTTCCAGGTTTCCATATGGTCCCTCAAGTGGCCCATAATGTTATTTGTCCCTCCCCATATTCCCTCCCCCACTCTTCCCACTCCAGTCTTCCCCGTCTCTCTTCATAATATGTTCTGCTAAGTCCATTAGTTCCCAGTGCTCCAATGAGATGCAATGTCGCTCTCATGGAAGCCCTCACCTTCTTAACAACAGGCCCCCTATTGAGTAGGCTCTGTCTTGAATTGTAGGGCATTTGTGGTCTTGTCTTGCCCCCTTTCTAAATACATGAACTATACTCACTCATCATTATATCCTAAAGAAATTCTAGACCCCAGCACAGAACAGGACCTGCCATCCTGTAAACACTCAGGACACACAGAGCTAGAAAAAACTACAGACAGCCTCTAGACCAACCTTCTTATTCCTCAGAGGGGAAAACAAAACCAACCATGTCAGGACCTGCCATCCTGTAAACACTCAGGACACACAGAGCTAGAAAAAGCTATAGACAACATCTAGACCAACCTTCTTATTCCTCAGAGGGGAAAACAAAACCAGCCATGTTTAGGAGCTTTAACTTCATGGTTGTTGCTGCCTAGATTAGAACCAAAATAGAACTCTCAGGTCTCATGGCTAGAAGACAGCTGTCACTCCATAGATAGCTGGGGCTGAGTTGCAGAATCTTGGAGAAATATGAACACATCACACAAGCGGGAAGTGTCAGCATTGGATCCAAAGGCTCACTGGGAAGATGAACTTGTCTGAGGGCGGGGGGGAAAATTATCATCCACAACCATATGTGCCCATTTTATGGGTGTCCCCATGTGCCAGGTGCCAGTCCCTTTCACAAGTTGCCTCATTGTCATTGTCTGCTCAAAAAGGCCACCTGATCACAGAGGACTGACTTCTCTCCCTTTTTCCCTTCTAGGCTAATGGAGGTTGGCAGGATGCTACTACCCCTTCATCAGTGACCTCCCCTACAGAAGGCCCTGGCAGTGTTCACTCTGACACCTCCAACTGATCTCCCAGCAATCGCATCCCGGCTGACCCTGTGCCTCAGTTGGGGCAGGGGCAGGAGGGAGGGTTTCTCTCCCAACGCTGAAGCGGTCAGACTGGAGGTCGAAGCAATCAGCAAACACAATAAGAGTCTCCTTCTCTTCTCTTCTTTGGGATGCTATTTCAGCCAATCTGGACACTTCTTTATACTCTCTTCCCTTTTTTCTGGGTAGAAGCCACCCTCCCCTGCCTCCAGCTCTCAGACTGGTTTCTGTCGTCTTCCCTGGCCCTGTTCTCTGTTCTGCACTCCCAGGTTCCTGCCCTCTATTATATCACTGAAGGATATTCTCAACAATTAGAGGAATTTAAAAAGAAAAAAAAAAACAAATTACAAAGAAAACAATAAAACGTATTTGTATGTTTTCACGCTGGTGGTTTGAGGAGCCAAATTTACCTCACTCGGAGCCCTCATCCCTATGTTGACAGGCAATCCTTCTGTCTCTTGTTACTCTCACTACCTCTTAGCAGGAATATACCACACTGCCCTACTCATTCCAGGCCACTCTGTCTCTGTTTGCCCCTTCTTTCTGGGAACAATCTGATTTCTTCCTCTTCTTTCTGGTCCCAGGTATTTGATGGGGACGGCCATAGCTGGGCACCTAAAGGTGCCACATGTCCCAGTGTCGCTCCATCAGGTTGAGTCCCAGGCAGGAAGACAGGCAGGAGGAGAGGGCACAAGGAACAGCAAGGGCAGGATTCCTACCAGCTTTCTCGTCCTCTTAGAAACAGCTCTTGGTCTCAGAGGTCTGCAGAGACCATTCAACACTTGGGCAGCAATGTTCAGAACCTCACGTGAGTCGGGTCTGAGAGAGGTACCCTGATGGGCACATCTGTAAAGAGTGAAGGTGTCTCATCCTGAAAGGCTTCACTGTCCCTTCCTAGACATGGGCACACATACATACATAACACACAGGTGGACACGTACATGACCTAACACCTTTGCTTGGCCAGATGCTACTCCCCTTCCATCAGTGACCTCCCTATGGAAGGCCCTGGCAGTGTCCACTCTGACACCTCCGACTGATGGCCCAACAATCTCATCCTGTGCAAATGCATACATTAGCAATCCTAGCACTCTAGCTGGTGAGCCTGAGAGAGAAGCAATATGTGCCTAGGGCTTCTAGAACCCATCAGCATGCACTTACCACAGTGGGACCCACAGGACATTATGGGCATGCAGGTCAGGTTTCCGGTGTAAACAGCTTTCATTCTCAGCACCTCTGGAGCTCTCAGGGAGCCATATACAGGACTTACAATGTCTATGATGGATTTGGCTGCTTTTTCTGAGTTTTTATTGTATGAGCTTTCAAAGCATTATAGTGCACTGTGGTCTTGATCCTGGCTTCTTCCTCTGGAGGAGAGAGTGGTATCTTATGTGGTTCAAGTGAACTTTCTACTAATTAATTTGAAGGCATCAGAACCATAGAGTAAGAGTGATAGGTTTTGTTGGTGGTGATGTTGTTGCTGTTGAAATAATCACAGTGATCTATATACCATGGGATTCAAAGAAAATACCATTTACTAAAAAGGTTGTCTTGCTTTTGACTTGAGCTTAAATTCCCCAGTCATCTCTGCCAGCCATGAAGATGGTAGCCTTGCCAGTAGGTTAAGTGGCATGTGGTCAGATATCTTTGGGGCCTCATGCCTTTCATCTATAAAATGGGAATTATTATGCTTGGCTCACCAAGGGGCTTGTAAGAGGCCTAAGAAACTGGTTTTGTTTACATTTAATCTCTAGGTCTGATGGTCAAGAAAGCAATGACCCTGTGATGAACTGTTTCATGCCAGGTCAGAGAACCATACTTGGTTTTCTTGTTCTAATTTCTGCTTATGATCTTGATGTCATCACCATAATGACAAAGTGTTGTTTTAGAGGCTTTCTGCTCTGATTTGGTTTTGGTCCATTAGTCTTCTTAGGATAGAGAAGAGATTTGAAACCAGAGTAGAATTGGTGTTATTAGCTTCTACTTGAATCCAATATGTGGCCTTGAAAGTCCTTGTCCCTATCACGACTATTCTATTTCAAGAAGTACAAGAGCTTGAGGGCTAAGACACCGGCCCATAAAGTCACTCACATTCCACATGGCCCCACAACGATGTGTAGGAACATCCTTCTTGTGTATTGGGAGGAGTAGGGCATGCATCCTGGGAAACGGTTGAGGGCAGGAATGTTTGAAGATAATGCAGAAAGTAATTATTTGACAAATGAAATTTTGTCTAGCTGATCCAAGTCACTAGAAAGACGACCAACTAAACCGTGTATTGCTCAGATCAGGGTGCCTAGGAGGGACATCATCACAAGTCTATATGGTGATGAGAACCAGTGATCTTTGTCTTTGTGGCAGGAATATACTGAAATCACTCATACAAGCTTGGTTAGATCACATCATTTAACATGGAGCAAATTATAAGAGTTACTGAAAGGTTCTCTAGGAAGCAAGAACGACTCCAGATCTGAACCTGAACACAGGAAGTGCCTGAGTGGAACATGGGAAAGCAGCGATGCCTTCACACAGACAGCTTCTCTCCAGGCAGTGGTAGCCCCACCCAGAACTTCACTAGGCCTCCTTTAGGTCCAACACTTAGCCCATAGCCTACTCTCCTTGCCCACTGTCACCTCCAAAATGGCAGCCCCCAGGTCTCTGTTGTCAAGCAAGGCTAGAGAAAGCTGGCAGCCTCAGGATAGGAGTGGGAAGAGTGTGCCTCTAGAAATTCAGCTCAACCTCTAAAAACCATACCCCAGGATTCCTTCATATTCTAAGTATAAATGAGAGTGCCCCCATTTTCCACAGCAGCAGTTTTCTCCTGAGAAATGGTAGTTGACCTTGGGTTTGTCACTGTGTGTTGCGTTTTACTGCCTCGTCCTCCTCTGCCCGCTGGAGTAGAATGGACTCCTGGGCTGCAGTTCTGCCTCCTGGCACCTTCCTTCCAATTCCTTCCCTGTGGCAGTGGTACTGTATCGTTATTATTATTATTATTATTATTATTATTATTATTAATTTTTGGTTGCCTTTTCTCACACCTATCTGCACCTCTTTCCTTCTCTCTTTAGTTTTCTGCCCAGAAAAACCTAACTTCGATACCAAAAAAAGATAAAACTACAGAAACTCAAATTTAAAAAAAAAAACTTAGGAAAAAAAAAAGAAAAAAAAAGAACTCAACAATTCTTTCAGCTTTATTAACATTTTCCATCGTTTCTTGCGACTTGTGTCTTGTTCTTTGTAGTATTGATGATGAACATTTGATAATGAATGTTCTTGTATATTCAGATAAAGGAAAAAAAACCAAAAAGGCGGTCTGAATTTAATAGTGTTTATAATAAAAATTTTAAAAATGACCCTCATAGCACGCAAAACAGGAAGGGGAAGTTTCCCTTCTTTCTGTGACGATACACATCACTCCTGCATTAGTTTTTAACACCAAGCTACCTATGTTCCTCATCCCCCCCCCCATTTTTCTTTTTCTTTTCTTGCATTTGTGAATTAGTTCAAGAATGCTAGAAAAAGTGTCAAGTTGTGTACATCCATTTCTTCTTTCACAATGTTTAAAAGTGACCGTAATTCATTTTGTAAGCTAAAAAAAAAAAGGAAAAAAAATAAAAAAAATAAGGTTGGAATAGTGAACATAATAGGTACAACCTAACCCTTATGTTTATTAATTTTGAGACCCAGAAATAAATTCTTTTCCTTTCTTTATTCCTGCTCATAAAAATACAAAAAAAAAGTTTTGTTTTGTGTTATTTTGGTTTTGTTTATTTGAGGGGGGTGCTTTTCTTCACTGTCAGGGTTGTGGGTCTTGCTGGTTATATTCTTTAAATATGTATACAAGGTGATGTGAAAAGGGGTCCCTCATAGGTGAGGCTGCTTCCTTGTTCTGCTTTGTTTCGGCCAATGTAAAAAAACAGCGGTAAAGCCCATGGTCACATGCCTTTGCTTTCTTGCATACCCAGGACATGTGGCACCTCTGTAATCCCCAAGATAAGGAGGCAAGGACTTGCTTCCTTAAAAACTCACAGAGCCTGCCCAGGGGCTTTCTTAACACTAGAAAGGAAGACTTTTGCCTTCATTGATTCTTAATGTCTTCCTCTCTCTCTCTGATTAACGCCAACAGTCCAGAAGAATGCTTCCAACAAAACAAGAATTTTTCTCCTGGCAGGACTCCACAGGAGGTACTGCCCTGGTGGGTACCATTACCAAGTAGAATAGATCCAGGAAGCAAGCCCCCTGGGCACATCCGCTTAGGATCCAGAAACCCCAGTTCTGGGTGAAGAGTTGGTGAGATGATGAGCCAGAGCCAAGGCAGGTTGAATGCTAAGAAGCTGGTCTCTGATTCACTGATGGTGCACTAGTCACTAACCTCCGATTAGGTTGACTGTTTAAATTGCAAAGCAGGATTCATCAGTATTAGTTATAGGGCAAAAGAAAGCCACATTGTTGGACAGACATTCAGTTTTGGACATCACGCATACAAACATTCAGGTGATCAGGAAGCAGACAGAATTCCATCCAGATACATGAAGGAAAAAAAAAAAAAAAAACAACTCATAGTTGTGGAACTATGCTGTAGGAAACATTCGCCCCTGGAGACATCTGTGCTCTTGTTTCTGTCATGAGAAACGAAAGCCAACCTTTTCACATCACCTCTGTGGTTTCCAGCCGAGCTCAAAGCTTTCTGGAAACTTATTTTTTTGTAAACTTTTTTTTTTGCCTTTTTGTTAAAATAAATAAAACATTGAATGTTTCCCCCTCTTTCTCTCTATTATGTCTTCCCATTGGGAGTTTCATTTTGAAGTGTTTTCCTTTGGTTGTTGGTTTTTATCCGGCCCCCCTTCTCCCCTTATTATTGAGAGTATAGCCCTGCAAAGCTCTGCTCTGGTTTGGTTTTGAAAGCTTAAGCTTTTCTGCTTCTTCGAGAGCACAGGCTTCTGTCCCCTTTGATTCCAGCTGAACTTTTGTGTTCTCTAATGATACTAACACGATGTAGGTTTTACAGTCTCCTAATTTGTACTGGTAATGCAGATTCCAAATAAATAGTTTCTTTTGTTGCAAAATATATATACATACACTTGTATTTTGTGTAGATTTCTTCTTCTGTGCTGCCAGCTTCTTCGCTTCCTTACATGGGCCTGGGTTACTGTGGTTTGTGTTTTAAATCATTGCCCTAATCAGTGATTTATGTTTTCAGCCACCAGCTTCACAAAGAGAAGGAGGGAGGGAGGGAGGGAGGGAGGGAGGGGAGACATGAAAATAAACTCTACAGAAGGACAGAGTAACTTATCTGTTTTCTAAGTCATGACTATTTGCCCAATGGGCTATCTTTTCCTTCACTGGAAGGTTCTGATCATAAGGGAAATTGTGATTCCCAAGAGATGTTTCAAGGGAAAGAATACAGGTTGTAAATAATACTCTTGGACCCTCCAAAATATTCTAGATGTCACTCCAGCAAATCTGCCCACCTGCAGTTGCTTATGTCTGTCTTACGTCTCTCGTCCCATTGAAGCATTCAGGCCTGGGACCCTGGCCTGAGCTACCATCTGCCAGTCAGAATTTGCAGTGTTTTAGCATCCACACTCTAAGTCCATACCCCACCTTCAACATCCTGTTTCTGTCTTTGGAGTGCAGAGGATCTAATGACCTAGCTCTTGACTGACAGTTTGTCCCTCCAAAAGCATGGTTCTAAACAAATATTACTTTCCCATTTTCCTGCTTTATGTCTCCAAGGAGGGCAGTTGAAAGTTGAGGTAGCAACCACATACCCACCTCGATCCCAGTGACAATTCCAGTCAACAGAGCTTAGAGCAACAACAGTTGAAATTAAATTTTGGGTTTCTGTTTTTTCAATTGAACAAGCTAAGTGTCAGTTACCTTGGAAGAATAAAGCTAGCCATAAATGATTTTGGAAACTTTACCAGAAGCCAAGTCAAGTCTCAGGTACTCCCTTCAAATTTAAGCATAGAAACACATCGCCATGTGAAAAGAACACTCAGATTAAGTTGCGTTTTCCAATTATTTGGAGATGTATGGGCCTAATCCATCCACATAGTATATCCATTAGAATTCACTGGAGCCATATACAAACTACTGGAAAGAATAAACCAAAGGTGTGTGATGCCTCGAATACAAATCAAATGTATTTCCAAATATATTAAATGTAATAATTTAAAGACATTTTCCAGTCAGAGTGCCTCCTCCCACTAAGGTGACCTAGAAAGATGGCTCCTTCATGGCTCATCATCCCCATGTGTGTCATCTTCCACACTAGACCATCAGATTGAAAGGGCGTGGAGGAGGCTTACCCATTTTTTGAAAACCTTGATGGAGACCTGCATTTATATCTCTAAATGTAAGACCTAAGGTGATAGTGGAATCCTGGAAAACTATTAACTAGCTGGGCAGCCACTTCCTAGGAGTAACTCCACATGATAACTTCTTGAATGACTGGCAAGAGAGAAAATAAAAGACAAGACCACTTGTCCATGTCAGAGTGAACACACTCCAAGTGAAAATGTTGCTACCTGCCGTTCTAGACATAGCTACATTGTGCCTCAGTGGGAAAGGGGCAAACCTAGGTTAAGAAATGTCCAACCCAATATTGCCCTCTCAAGGGAAAAGAAACAGAAGTACCTTATCTATGATGATGTGAGAAAGGAGATGAGGAATACAGGACAAACAAACCTGTTCTCCAACATCTTCCAATTTGTTTCTAAACTTGGGTCTTACTACCGAACCTGTGGTCACTAGGAGGAGGAAGCTACTGGGAATGACAACAGCCTTGTCCTCATCTTCAGGAATTCACACCTTTGCATTCATATTGATGCCTCAAAGAATCATGTCTGGTGACCAGCAGTCATCTAAGAAAATGTATGCTGTGCCCTAATTCATCCATGCTGTAACGAAACATCTTCCACTCTGTAATTTATAAACAATGAAACCCTATTGCTCACTGTTCTGAAAGAACTTGGGAGTCTTCTGCTGCTTGCTTATGGACAGCACCTCTGTCTTGGATCCCCCCAGGCCTCTTGTATAAAAGCAATGGTATCATTTCAGATGCTCTTCCCTTCCAACCAAATCACACCTCAAAGACCTTGCCTCATATGGAAGCCTAGAGTATAGAGTAGACATCATTTAGACCATAACAGAGCCAAATCGAAAGATGGTATCTGCTCACTCACAATCCATACATGCCTACACAGCCTTGTAAATTTCTACCAATTTCCACTTTGGAAAAAGAAATGCAGCAAAGTATCGTGTAATATCTCTTTTGGTGGTGGAAATAGTGCCTGTCTTCCTCATTTGAGCCATTTTGTGAGAAGTGGCACAAGAACTCAGTTCTATGGAGTGGCCCACTGGGTGAACCCAAGAAGTTTGTGCCTAAGCTTGTCCTCCGAGGGACCAGCAGGAAGAATGAAGCTATGTAGCAAGAGCTTCTCTGTTATTGTGGCATAGAAACTAAGGTGTAGAAATCAAGATGAAAGTGTAGCAGGGGCCACTGTGCCTAGCACTGTAGTCTGTGGCTTCCCGCCCCAGGTAGACTACCTGATCTCCAGCTGGGGTGGGAGGTGAAGAGAGAGAAGCCATAAAGGACAGGGACAGCAAGGGCCACACGCTTTGGAGAACCACTGTCTTTGTCTTCCTGGGACCCAGGCCAAGTTTTGGGTAGACCAAGTAGGTCAGTCAGTCATTAGTGTTTGGATTTCACTGTGCCCTAAGCCAAAGTCACTCCCCCACCCCTCACTATCCAGCCAAAATTTCTAATGTAGCTCAGCAGTTATCAACATGCATTCCTTCATAACATAAAAGGCCCCAGGCGCTGGTATGAATTCAAATATGAATCTTTCATTAATAAGTACCCAGAGAGAAATTAAAGTTCAAAATAAAATCTTCCTTCTCTTATAAATTAAAATCCAAAAGGATGTTAATCTACCGCTCATCCTTTATGATTTCCTACTGTGCTCATTATACATAAGTTCACTTATACTCCACTGCCACAAGTGGGGTCTAGGGCCTTCCTTTTAATGAGGTAGTAGAGGCCTCGCCTACTAGAATAAGACAGCTGTCCTGGTCCTTCCAAATCTCACTTCATCTAACATTGAATCTCTCTAGTATTCCACTTTTTTTCCTAGAAATCGACTTGCAAATCATATGAGCTGTATCCTTTGACCAGCTTTGTCCAAACAGCTGAGAAAACACCAATAGAATCCTAGGTCCAATTGGCAAATGAAGTAGCCAGGAACCAGAGTGGAGTGTCATGTGACTATTGGAAATGAATGATTTAGCGGAGCTTTGATAATGTGGCGAGAACGCAAGGGAACTGGAGAGTACACAGGACAGGGAAGAGTAGAAAGTTTAGTCTTGTAGTACCAGTTGTTTGGCATCAACTGTCATGTTGAGAAAAGGCCACCAACAAGGGGTTAATCTTTCAATATGGGAGTGACTCCACTTCCCATATCCCTAGGGAAACAACCGAACCTATGCGTTCTGCCTCACCTCTCTGAGAATGACCTTTGAAATATTCATGCCATTATGAAAAATTCAGAAATGGAAAAGTGGGTCCCCTCTAGTCCACAGGCTGACTTAAGGTACCCTTCATCCCCAGACCTTCATACACACATATAAAATTTCATCCAAATATCTATTTCCCGTTAAGCCCTACACCCCCAATTTCAGCTCCCTATGCTTTGTGATTTCTGCTTCTCCCTTTTCTGCAAGAGGTCCAGCTTAGGACTCCCTTCTGCTATTCCCCCTGGCTCAGCTAGAATTAGCTGCCAGTTGCTGAGGCCCAGCTCTGCGGACACTGCAGGGCAGAGGGATGTATCCTGCATATAAACTCCAAAGAGCCTCACCTTCCCTCGACTCTGTGAGCCTAAGCTTGAGTGACAGGGGCTGCTCCCATGTCTACAGAAATTGTCCTGACATTTGCTCCACGATTCTCTCCTTGTCTTCCCAACTCCTTTAAACCAAGCTGAAAATGTTTAAAATACTCTGTCTTCTTTCTCTAGTTCCTTCTCTTCTGTCTCTTGTGTAGACATCATTCTTTTTGTCTTGGGCTTTAACATTTGTTTCCCTATCATACTTCCCTAAACTTTATTTTTAATTCCCCACCCAAATTCTATCTCTATCCCAAGCTTCCATTGAATCAGATGAGGCTTGTTTAGCTTTAATTCCTCAAATCCTCAATGCTGTCAGAAACACTCCTAGACTCAGCTATCTATACCCCAGCAAGCTTCTCCAAAACCACTTCTCCTTCACGAGCCCTCCAAAGGGCCCATCTCTTGGCTTACACCTTTAGAACACATGGCTCATCAATTTCCCCCTCACACAGAAACAGTGAGAGTGGAATTCACTAGTAGCCTTAAGTGTTTCACTCTGCTTTTCCTCACTTACCCCTCAAACGTGCCCACATTCTCTGCTAACACCTAGGGCTCCTTTCTAAGCCACTCATGAGAACATCTCCAGCTGCACTCCCCATAAATTTCTTGTCTGCTGCCTTGGTGGAGTCTGGATTCCTCCCTGTGAGATCTGAATGCTGTTTGCTCACTGAGTGCCTAACATCATACTGACTTCAGCACCAGCTCCACTACCATCACCTGGATCCTTCCTGACATCACCTCTAAAACCAGATGAGAGCTTTCCCATGCCAACAATTACTCCAGCATCAACAAGGCATCTTAAAACTCATTCCAAAACTGACACTCCATATTTGGAATAGGGTTAGGGCTCAACCCCCATGACTACCTCCATATTAGGTTGTGTATGCAACTGTCAAGTAAGTAGCTTATGATCCCCTCTTTAAGTTGGAGAATTTGCTAAAACAACTCTGGGACTTGGGTAGCTACACCATTTATATGTTCTCATTGGTTATAAAGGATATAAATGATCCACCAGATGAAGAGGCACATCAGGTCAATGGAAGGGTCCTCAGAGCACAAGATCCTGTCCCCAAAGAATTAGTGTGCACCTCCCCCTTGATGGATGTGTCGCAATTATTTAGGGATTTTTGAGGCTTCCTTACATAGATGTGAGGGACTAAATCATAGACCACAGAGCTTAAAGGG